TTTCGACTTCTCGTCCATCGCGCCTCGTTCTTCTTGGGTTGCTTCCCTGACCTGGGCCAATTCCAAGATTGCATCCTGACGATGACCACCTTCTATAGCAGTCATTTGATCTTTCTCTGACACGTCGGATTCATACTGTTTGACGATCTCTTCCTTCTCTCGAAGGAGGCACTCTGCTCTTTTCGATTCTTGTTCCGCAAATGCCGTCACATCATTCAGTCTCGTCATTAGCTGCTCCCTGGTGTCCTCCATTGAGTACATTTCGGGGCGCTTGACCAGCGCATGTTCCAACTGTGATTTCAGGCTTTGAACCATCTCCTCCTCGTTGAACGTCTCGATAGATGTAGACGATTCTATCCCTCTGATCTGCTGTTGGTAAACGGAAATCTGCTTTGAAGCTTCACGGTGAATTTGATTTGCATGTGTAGCTGATTCCTGTGCAGCCGCCTTCTCGCTTGCCATGTAGGATCTCATCACTGCAATCTCCCGTTTCTGCTCCATGATTATTCCCTCAGCTTGTCGCATTTGCTGCATCATCGTATTCGACTCCATGTCTTTCTTTTCCCCGTATTCAAATGCGTTCATTTCCGCCTCACGCATTTGTTGGGCTTCCGCCTCAAACTTGCGCCAGGCTTCTGCCATGTGGTGTTGGTGATGACTCACAAGGTGCCCCGATTGCTTGCTGGCAACCTCGCATCGTCTCTCCAGTTCCTGGATCCGGATGGTGCTCCCATAGTCTTCTTGATGAAGATTCGCCTTTGCCGTCGACATTTCATCAATCGTCTTCTGATACTCCCCGATCTCCATCTCCATCTTGTTCTTCTCTTTGATTGCTGCGCGAAACTCGGCACTCGTGGGCGAGTTGGATCTCCCACCTTTCGATGTCGACCTCATGCTCTTCTGCGACGCCCGTGGGGTCGCTGGTGAAGATGATGATCTCCTCGGCGGAGAATCTCTCTGTCCCGATTCCTGACGAATAGCGATTTGTTTCCATGATCTCGTGGGCGTGGATATGTCGCTGAATAGTGCGGATCCACCGCTTCCAGGTTCATCCTGTGAATCTGCAACCATATCCATGACCGCAGGAAGAGCCATCAATCCATTGGATCCCTCCGAACTGTCGTTCCCAAAAGTTGCAGTACTTGGGCTCTATGCTGGGTTCGCCCCCATTTTTGGGACCACCTGCGCCCGCCGCCACTGACCCAGCCGCCCCGATTCGGTTAGTTGCTGATTCTTGTTTGCAGGGCCGAGGTCTTCGGAAGGAATCGAGCTCTTTTTCTTTTCAGCTCCTCAAGGGCCTCTCCTAGACAACGTCTCTCCCATTCCCCCAGGTTATCAGCCGTACCAGAAGCTCTACACTGGACGGAGAGACAGCTGGTTTATTGCGGGTACAGGAACTGCAGAAAACGGCTGATAACCTGTCAAGAGATAGCAAGTTGACGTCCCGTGGGACGCTGTCCGCCGAGCCTCCAGCTGAATGTACTCAACCACGTAGAAAGGGTATACGGCCAAACCGTTATAGCCAAACCAGTGCAAACTGTTGTAAGGGTATCGTCCAGTAACCACACACACGTCCGATATCAGCAGCGCGAATGAACCTGTTTTCTCTCACACAGATCGATCACAGGCGAACATAGTTCATGCAAGACCTTAAGCCCTACTTGAATCTTGAGCCAAATGTGGCAACCAAAGGAACGCTCCAACCAACAAGAACATGGACCTCAGAACGGCTTCCCAATTTAGGCACGGGGCCAGGAGGGTTTTAACAATACAAATATGTGTAAATAGGTCATGCCTTGATCTCACACATGCTGGCATTTACGTGTTTTGGTCATGTGTACCAATTGGTACTTCATTCACCGCGCAGCTGATTTCAACAAAAAGATGGACAAAATGCAAAGATGTGTAAATGGATCACGCCTTGCTCTCACACGTGCTGACAGTATTGGTCACTCATACGCACAGACAAGTCCAATTGGTAGAATCTGGGGAGGGGGGGCGTTTCTAAGTAGCTGATTTCAACCTCCGGCAACTGCAAGAAAACACCGCGATCAAATGATACCTGAAGCCAAACAGCTGATTTAGGGAGCGCGGCTTGCGATCAGATGCACCGGAAGCCTAACAGCTGCTTTACGGAGCGGGGCTTGTGATCAGATCATGCCCAAACAGCTGCTTTACAATCAGGTGATACCTGAAGCCAAACAGCTGCTTTAGGGAGCGGGGCTAACAGCTGCTTTATTGAGCGCGATCAGATGATACCTGAAGCCAAACAGCTGCTTTAGGGCGCGCGGCTTGCGATCAGATGATACCGGAAGCCAAACAGCTGCTTTAGGGAGCGGGGCTTGTACCTGACAAACAGCCGCGTGCCGCAAGGATGGTCTAACTAGACAATCCCTTGCTCACACACGTGCTGACATATATGTAGTGTTGGTCATGTTTACACACAAACAAGTGCAATTGGTAGAATCTGGGGGGGGCGCCATGTTCACCGCCTAGCCTAGCTGATTTCAAGCCCCGGCAACTGCGAGGATGAGGGTCTATATGTATATATGTACTAGATCATGCCTCTCACACACGTGCTGACATTTATGTAGTATTGGTCACGTGTACACACAGACAAGTCCAATTGGTAGAATTCGGGGGGGGGGGGGGGCGTTTCTAAGTGTTAAACGCCCCACTGATTTCAAGCACGGGCAACTGCAAGAAAACACCGACGCCGTGAGGATGAAGGTCTAAACAGAACATGCCTCGCTCACAAACGTGCTGACGTATATGTAGTATTGGTCATGTGTGCGCACGGACAAGTCAAATTGCTAGATTTTGAGGGGGCTGGGGGCGTTTCTACGATCCGACGACCCCAAGAAAACACCTGAGGATGAACGTCTACGTGTGTGTAAATAGGTCATGCCTTGCTCACACACGTGCTGACATATATGTAGTATTGGTCAGGCACACGCAGAGGCAAGACCAATTGGTAGAATCTGGAGGGGCGTTTCTAAGTGTTCACCGCCCAGCTGATTTGAAGCTCGGGTAACCAAACCATGCCGTTATCCTGATCATATCTCATTTTTCCATCGGCCGCGCAGATTTATGCTTGCTTCGTCGTTTCTGTAGAAACAACGGACAAATGATGAAAACATGATGACCAAAAAAATGATCATGTGTTCATCACGGCTTCATCATTTTTCATAATGTGTTCATCTTGGTTCATCATTGTTTCACCATCTTGCAAGGGTCCTTATCATTTGTACATTTTTGCAGTATTCCGTGGGGACTCATGGAAGCAAGATGGACAAATGATGATCAGAAGGATGAAACCAGAATGATTTCCGGGCAAAGACGCAAATTTGTGGGAAACCTTGAAGACTAAGGAAAAAGCTAGCAAGTCATCACTTGTACATCATGTGATTCACCATTTGTCTATGTCTATATATAAATGTATATAGACAATACATGTGTGCAGAACACGAGGAAAATGTCATAAATCCGGGAAATGGTGATCAACAGAAGAACAAATGATGAGACCAAACGATGCCAAAATGATTTGTAATGATGAAGTTAATATTTGTAACAAGCAGTTTCAGTGTTTGGCTGCCCGAATATCTCTTAAGTCTATCATGTGTGTTTGATTAATTGCGTGGCTCTTATTTTTCTTGCGCGGTCGACTCTTTTCTCTCTCGGGGCAACGCCCGTGACCAACGCTTAGAAGCCGCAGGTACCTCTCGGGCAACACTTACAAACGTTTCGAAGTGTTTGATGGCTGGTAATATGCATCAGAATCATCATGAAGGAGAAAAACGTTCCTAAGTGTTGGTCGGCCGAAACGTTTCTAAGTGTTGAACTTACTGTTTTAAATTTCGTTTCTAAATACTTATCGGAAATTTTGGAAACCAAAACCGTTTCTAAGTGTATGTCAATCACTATATTTGTGTCTATAAATATCTATAAACATATGTAGCTTTCATCTGTCGGTGCTACTTATCCGTCGTGGTATGCTTCTACATGTCTTCGCAGCTAGCTGTCCATCGGTCTTTCTGTTCATTAATCCATCCATCGGTCGCGCATCACTGTCTGTCAGCCTATCTGCCCCGCCATCCATATTGAATCTGTTTGTGCATCTCTCTCTCCCTCTCTTAGCCGGCTTGTTTGTTCATCTTCCTCGCTAGTAATCCAACTCAGCACGCCTGCCTATCTGACTCGCGCTCTACATGAATGTCTGAAAACGCCTAGTTTGGAAGTGCAATCACGCTGACTACGCAACACATCCAGGCATACACCTGCGCGCGCATTCTCAGCCGCCTGCTTGAAGACCAAGCTTTGACTGACGCGTTTTCTACACGGGTTCCGAAACGACCAGAGACAGCGCCAGAATGATTTCGACCTGCTTAACCTTAGGCTCGCCGCAACGTGCCACTCTGCAACGAAACAACACTGAATGTGTCATAAGCTACGACCCGCGCACGGTGGCAATAACAAAATAACATCTCGGCTTGCAAGCTACGCAACGTCTCAAACCACAATTGGAATCACGGCAGGGCTGAACACGACACCTTGACAGCTCAGGGGAAAGAAGCGTTCTGAGCTTTTCCGGCCTCCTGCGAAAGCTTGCGGCGCTGGCGAACACCGACGCATCTGGCGAACACACACTGACCTCCGCACCTTCTACAACGGAAAGGCCTTTGCTACGCGTTCGGAAAAAGCATGGAGTTCACTTTTGGGCCGGCATAGGCTTATTTCTAGTCGTTCTAGTGGGCAAACATACTTGTGAGATTCCCTTTTCTCCCCTTCTCAGGGAACGCCAATGGCCCAAACAAACCCCCAGCCAAGAACCAGGGGCAGCGTGAGGATTCTGTGGGAGTTCTGAGTTGCAAGCAGCGCCTTCGAGACGCACGCGCGACAAATGCGCGAGAACTTGCATCTAAAACGCTTTACCCCAAGCGCTCTTCTCGCAAGCGAGGCAACCACAACTAAGCCGTTGCAGTAGTCGCGATGTTCGCCGCCTGGGCGACGTATCTCGATCGCTGGCTCTTCGGCAGTTTGTCCCAGTGCGCCAGCATATTCGTAGCACCTTGGGCAGGTGAAGGTTGAGTCAAGGCACAAGGCGCTCCGTGACATTGGCCGCTCGCTGCTTGATTTGCAAAACGATTTCCACGTGAAGTAGTCACTAAAGTTGCGGCATGTGTAACCACGCACAAACACCTCGCCCTAACGGATGGCCGGCTTCTGGCCTGCCTTTATGGCGGCAATCTGGCACCGTTTCATGTTTCAGTGCGTCCCTAGAAGAGGAACGCTGCAACATCTTTTCGGCAAGCTTTCGTCGCGGCACCTTTGAAGCATATGACGCCCTCGTTGCGGTCCATCGTGGAGTGCTTCAGAAACCAGAGGCCGTCTGCCGTTGCTTCTGACACAACTCCTTCCACAAGGCCAGCAAAGCGCAC